AGCTCCGGCGCCACTTGCCCAGCCCAGCTTCCGAGGGGAGAAGGTGGGCTGGCCAGGCTGGGGACCGGCGTCTCGGCCCCTGGAACGGGGACTCGACCACGGTGACCGAGCCTGACCCAGCTACCAGGGGTGGCCCATAAGCCTCTCGGCCTCAGGTACGTCGATGGCGCCGAGGCTTCGAGTGTCTTCGGAGACCTCAGAAAGTTTGCCTCAGGGCAGGATCGGAACCCCGAGACCCCAGAGTGGTTGGGGGGGGCGGGAAGGGTAGGAGAGCCGCTGCATAGGGAGTGCCGCCCTTGCCTCGCCCCACAGCGTGTTTGTTAGGGAGCCCGGGCTCCCGATCCGGGGTAGAAATGGTATCGATTTTTCTGAGTCGGGATCCAGGGACAGTTTTTTCTGTGCCCGAGTAGCCTGGGTTCCGTGACAGGGCGGATCGTGACAGCGGGCCCCAAAAGCTCAGCGCCCGAGGGCAGGAGGTTGGGCAGACTGTGGCAAGGCTGCTAGATTGATCAGGCGGCCCCTAGGGCTTCTGGGGCCAGGTGCTTTAGGGTGCCACAGAGGCATGCCCAGAAACCTAGGACTTGGAGATTCAAATCGCCAAAATCGAGACCACTCGGCAGGGCGTGGACTTTCTGTGTGTGCCGGCGGCCAGTCTTCCCGTTCCCCGTTCCCGCTTCTCCTGGTTCTCCTGCCTCTCTGATCCCTCCCCAACTACCACCAAGGGGACTCAGCAGCTGCCCAACACGGGGTCTCCGGATGCCAGCGCCTTGCTGTGAATGTTTAGGGGGCTGCCCAGGCGGCAGACACTTTACGGATTCCTGGCCCCTCCCCACCGCACCCTAACCCTGCTACTCTATCCTCACAACTAACTGTATGGCTGGGACATTCCTGACTAGAGTCAGCTCTTGACCCCTTGGCTCCTTGGGCCGCAGTGAAGTTTCCCACCACCAGCAGCTGAGGGATTTGATAGCCTTTCACTCCTGCCCCTCATCCCTCTGCTCAGGATAGAGGCTTGTCTGGTCCTGCAGCTTCTTCTGGTTAATGTTTGACAGTTCATTGTAGCTAATCATTTTAATTAGCTCTTAAAGTGGGGAGGAACAGTTAACCTTGGACTTCTCGATTTTAGCCTGGTGGGGCCTCAAATGGGAGGAGTGCTGAGGAGCTGGGAAGGTCGGAGCGGAAGTGAGGTCACCACCCCAGGGCCTGAGCCACCACTGCTGGCCCCAACAGCTGGTAGGCACGCCCATTGGGGACTCAACCCTTGTGAACTGACCCCTGGCCTCAATGCCAGGTTGGAGGAAGGTGAAGAGAATGGGTCTAATTCTTCCCCTTGAAGAGACAGGGCACTTTGACACTGAAAGTGCCTAGTGAACACATATGCCCAGCAAGAATGCCAATCGCTCCTTGCAGTTAGCTCCACAAGGTTTTCCCAGTTGTGAAGTGTTTCATCAACCATTAGTTCAGTGCACATAGTGCAGAAGCAGCCTAGGAGGAGCGATCTGCAGTTATGTGAAGATGACTGGGAAGACCTGGGGGACCGTGTGGGCAGGAGGCTGCCTTGCATGTGGTTGTCTCTGGAGCTGTGTTCAAAGCCTGGAATCCCTTGTTTCAGGGAAGCACGAAGCAGGCTCCACGTTGCCACCCTCACCCAGCCTCTAGCTGTGAGCCGAAGGAGTGGCTTGTTTGCAACTATGTCTGGCATTCCTCCCTCTGCTGCACTGTTTGCTCGGTGGTTACTCAGGAACTGGCGCCCACCCCTAGACAAGCCAGGGGTGAAATCCACCCTCCCTCCCCTAGTGCCGAGTGGTGGCACATATATCTAAAAATGAGGGTGCTTTGGGCTGTCTGTCAGGGACCTGATTGATAGTGTGTTCAAAACGCTCCTCATTCTACAAAGCTCAAGGCTTTTCTCCTGGAGCAGCCTGGCCAGCCACTGACTGAGGGTATTGCTTTCCCAGGGGAAATTCTGCTCCTGAGCTTGGCCTTGGTCCTCTCCACACTAGCACCACCCTTTCTCATTTTACCTTCAACCTCTAGAGCCAACCTATCTGGGTTGAACTTCCAGCTTTGTCGTTTACTAGCTGTGTGCTATGGCCTCAGTTTCCTTACCTAGCAAAGGAGACCCACTTCATAAAGTTTTACATGTAAACTGCTTATTAGAAATTTGTGTGGCACATGGTACACCTGAACTGGCATTATGATTTTATCTAATGCAGTACCTAAAACTCAGATTCAACTGAGCAAACATCTGCTGGGGGCTTGTCCCAGTCCTGGGTCCCAGCAAAAGGACAGAGGGGAAAATACGGATGTGAAGAAGATATCAGCTTCCAGGATTGTGTGTATCTTCTTATATGGACCAGAGTAGTGTCAGTGGGCGGGGAGACTAGATAAGTCATCTGCATAAATAATCATAATTTAAGGCCAGGCTGGAATTCCTGAGCCAGTATGGAGAGCCAGTCCACCCAGACTCAGGCTTCTCCTTGCCTGGAGACCCTGGCTGGGTTCTGGCCCGGATGCTGCCTGTCCCCACCCCCAAACCTGCCCTAGGGTTTAGGTGAGTGAGAGAGAAAGGAAGACTGGTCTCTGCATGGGCTGCAGGTACCAAGCATTCAGGATGTTATTCTCTGGGTGTCAGGACAGGATAGCCTTACTAAGGATCAACCTCAAACACCCTCAGAGCCCAGAGGAGTGGCAGAGCTAACATCTGCCCTGCCCTTTTCATCTTCCTGGGGTCCCCCGAGTTGGAAAGTGCCTCGGGCAGCCTTCTGCCCTCAGACCTGGGACTGACCCCAACCTGGCTTTGGTTATTACGTCTGGATTTCTAAACTCAAAAGAGGTTTCTGGCTTCACTGCAAATTTATTCCCTTTGTGGTTCTCAGGCTGAAAACTAGTTCTGCAGGGGAGAAAGGACACTCATGCTAGGTACCCAGAATCCATGGGTGCTTTCCTGGGAGTGCGGGGCTTTTCTCATCAACACCAACCTGCCTGCGAATCTCTGGCTGCTGAGCCTCGTGTGTCTTGTACTAGCAGCGCGGCTGCGCTGTTAATGCCCAGCAGCTCGGGCCCCAGCACTGGTTGCCAAGAAACTGCTGGTCGGGGCGCTTATGAGGGTTCTGACCTCATAGGGGTTGCTGAGTTTCAATTCAACAGACATTTATTAACACCTACTGTGTACCTAACCTGCGCTAGGAGTTGTGGGGCTGTGGAGGGAAGGAGGTGGTGGGTCAGAGATGACTAAGACACTGAAACAATCAGAGGCGAGGACAAGCAGCCAGGCCAGCAGCTGGTCAGGTGCTAATTGTACTCCTCAGAGAAGAGGCCAGCGCGGCCAGGACACTGAGGTCAGCGACAGCTGGAGGAGGGAGGGAAGGCTTTGTGAGGGATGCGGGCTCAAGCTAGACCTTGAAGGGGGGTAGAGGCAGCGAGGGGGAGCCTTGGTGCGGCAGAAAGGGGAGCAAAGACGCCTTTCTTTCTATTCCCTAGCCGTGGACTGACCTTCAGAGCCTGGATGATTGTTCAGTAAATGTATGTCACATAAAAGACCAGGTCAGTGAGTGTGGGTGGCTCAGTGGAAACCCTGAGCTCCACTTTAGGAGATACAAAGTGGCTGGCCCAGTGAGCCCAGTGTGTATTGATGAGATACAAAGGGTGGCCTGGCTTCCCTGCCACCCAAGCTGAGGGGATTTCATTTGGAACCCCCCACACACATGCACAGGCCCAGGGGTGAGGGGAGGAGAGAGGTAGGGGACACTAAAGCATGATGGAAAAGTGTTCACAGCAGACATGGGCTGGCTGGGTCCTACCTTGCCTCAAGGTTGTAAGTTTTCCCTGGAAGCCCAGAGATTAAAGTGGAGGAGAGAAGTCTTCATAATTGTCCCCTCTAGAGCTGGAGGGTCTCGAGAGTCCCACGTATTTCTGCCCAGACCACCAAGGACTAGCCATATATTTGTTCTGCTGCTTTTGTGTCTCCTATGGTTGGGTGTGAAAAGGGCCTTGGATCTTGTTGGGTTTTAATTGGATGAACACCCCCCCACACGCATACACACATACACTCATTATTTTTCCTCTTGATGCCTTCTTGCTTTTTCCCTGTCCCCAGCACATTTCAATACCTAAAGGACACAGCAGAATGCCCTGGCTTCTTGGCTGAGAACTTGTGTCCCCTGTGAGTTTCTTGGCAGATACCCCGACTTTCTCCCAAGGTGAGGAGGAGGCTCAGGAATCAGGGAAGGGTGCTTGTGCAGGAGGGTCTGCGAGAGGAAGTTCTGGCATGGAATAACACACTCCTTCCTGACCAAGTGGGAGGTCTTTCTGCCAGCTTTTTGTTAACTCTGTCATAGCACAGAATAAAGATGAGACATGGAAGAAGAAGGTGTGTGTGTGTGTGTGTGTGTGTGTGTGTGTAAAATCTTTCTGGGAGCAGGCACTGCTGTAGTGAAGAGTGAAGCTGGGCATGGTGGCGCACGCCTGTAATCCCAGCACTCCGGAGGGTGAGGCAGGAGGATCGCTGTGAGTTTGAAGCCAGCCTGGGCTACATAGTCAAACT